CTATGGAAACAGCCGATTTTACCATTATGCACGTTTATTCAAATTTTTTAATGGTGCCATTCAGATTTAGACATTTTCTTTTCTTAAATATATTTTTATTGATTTCAGAGAGGAAGGGAGAGGGAGAGAGAGATAGAAACATCAATGATGAGAGAGAATCATTGAACGGCTGCTTCCTGCACACCCCCAAACAGGTATTGAGCCTGCAACCCAGGCATGTGCCCTTGACCAGAATCGAACCTGGGACCCTTCAGTCTACAGCTTACTCCTTTTGCCTACTTCCCCATGCAGTCTTTGTCCTTCTACCCGATATAAGCAGACTGAAGGGTAGGGCAAGGAGCTAACTTTTTGCAAACATAGCATCATATTAATATGCTGTTAATGTAAAAAACCATGGAAACCTGTAAATAATTTTTGTGAGTTTATTTGAGCCAAACTGTTGACAAATGCTGGGAAGCAGAACCTCAATGAATTGAGATAATGCTCCGGAGAATGGCCAGTTGCATCCGTATTTATACTTTGCAATCAAAGGGAAGGGTTAGGTGAGTTACATGAAATCCATTGGTGATAGACTAGAGAGGCAGGAGAGAGCAAACTAGGGAAACCCCTGGGATTGGATCAAAAGTAAAATGATAGACATACTTAGGTGGGTGCAGGAACAAGTAACATGATGATGAAGGAATTTGTGGTATCTGTCCTGGGGCCCAGCATATTAGGTTGTGCTTCTGTTGTAATGTACCCCGCGAATCACAGAAGGACGCCTCAAGAAGTCGAATTAAAGAGTCACATGTATTGCAATCTGGGACTATGAGGGGTCATTCCCAAATCTCATAGTAACAAGATGGTGGAAAAACCAGGTTTATATAGGAAAAAATCACATAAAATAGATGAAACCCTTCCATAGTCTAGAGCAGGGGTCCTCAAATTACGGCCTGCAGGCCACATGCTTTCTAAGACCAGTATGAACATAACAAATGGGATTTTGCATTACAATCAATAGGGTATTTAATCGAATGGGATGATTTATATAAGTCAGAAAATCAAAATAACTTTTCTGTTGTTAAGCCAAACAGCAGGGTTAGAGTTAAACTACAGTTTCTACCTGAGATGGTTGCTACCATACTTCACTTAAAGGGGTCCAGAAAAAGGAAAGTTACAAGTTACCCAGACATTTCAAGGATATGTTGTTATAGATGCAAAAGGACAGATCGGCTCAGTTAAGGTGAAGGTTGACCTTGTCAGCGAAGATACCGGCCTAGGATGTAACTACCCACCATAACTGCTTTTAGTTAAAGTTTAATTTCAGACCATCCTTTGTGGTTACTTTAGGTCTCTGAGTTTACAAGACCGCCACGCAGACCTTCCCTGAGTTTATTAGGTTAGCATGTGGCCCCTTTCGTCCACAATGCCTAGATTATTTGAAAAGATCACAAAATTACCACTAGTCCACCTAAGTATAATTGTTGCTTTTGTTGAATTTTAAACTAGAGAATCATTAAAGAACAGAAACCAAGGGCCATGATCTAACGAGCACTGGTAATGAGGTTTCAGAATTGGCTCTGTCCAGGACTTTAGGCAAATGACTTGGTTTTCATTTGTTTTTGTTCCTTATTTATAACAGGAATAACGATACATTTCCAGCTTCCTCACAGGATTGACATGATGATGAGGTGATAGGTGGGAAAGAACTTAAATTTAAAAGTACTGTAAAGTATAGGTTAGTATTAGAAATAGTATTTAATGACCTACCAGTATACAGAAAATTCTTTAACAGTGATGGTATGGTATTGAGCCAATTAAGCAGAGACTGGACTGAATCATACATGAGCGTTTACTGCCGGCAGTATGGGAGAACAAGTAGGTCATCAACAAAAATCTGCTCTGCAAGCCCCCATAAGCCAGCTGTTTATATAGGGTGGGACAAGGATTACATGGGGAAGTAGGGGCCACAGGCAGGGGGAAGTAGGAGGCTAGGGTGGGATCCATTGTTTGGGCAACAAGGTTATTAATCTTCCCACGACAATAGGCCGTTACCAATGAGAATGGTTCCAAGGTTGACTCCCAGGCCCTGGGGGCATACAACTCCCAGCCAGGTCAGAATGCCCTTTCTTTAACCAACACAAGGCAATCATGGTTAACAGTAAGGTTACTATTTCCCATAACCATAGCTAGGTCCTAGTATTCTATTTTTGCCCCTAACAATTTGAGTTAGAACAAATTTATTAAAAGATAACTGCTTTCGATTAAATTAGCTTCATAAACTCACGGTAATGCCCAGAAGCCAGGGTGATCTAGAGAGGAAAGAAAGTGAAACCGGACAAGAAATGGGTCCGGACTGCCTGTCTCTACTTGAGCCAGTTAAGCAGAGCAGCGTTGAATCATATATGAGTGTTTATTCCAATACTGCTGGCAGCATGGGAGAGCAGCAGGTCATGCATGAAAATCTGCTCTGCCCTCTCCCTCCCCCCCATGAACCAGCTGCTTATATTGGGTAGAAGGACAAAGATTACATGGCAAAGTAGGTAAGAGGAATAAGAATGTATGCAAAAGGAATACGTGGGTATTACAGGCATGGGGAAGTAGGCAAAAGGAATCAGAATTGGTAAAATGGTTACCGATTACAGGCAATGCTGGAGGTTGCAAAGGCCATTGTTTCAGCAACAAGATTGTTAACCTTTCCATGAGGCCAGGAAGTTCTTAGATAAGGATAAGGAGAATTGACCGCATTGAAAGGTTAACTCCCAGGGCCCAGGGCATACAACTCCCAGCCAGATTAGAATGTGCTTTCTTTAATCAGAACAGAACGATCACAATTAAGGGAGCGTGATTAATATTTCTTATAACTATTCCTGGCCCTCACTATTCTGTTTCTGCCCCTAACAAAAAGCATTGGGTTTTGTGTCCGTGTGTTTGAATTGTCACTCCACCACTTACTGGGTGTGTACTTTCTTGATCCACTTACTCATTTGTAAAATGGGCATTTTAGTACCTGCTGAAGATTAAGTAAGACAATATATATAATGTACCTATCTCAGTGACTAGTATGTATTAGATGTTGAAATAAAGTTATTCACCAGTCTACCACTCCAAACATACTGGCATAACCAAAGTCTAATATTTGTTTTCCTTTTTGTCCCCTAGGGATCTCTTGAGGGACAAGACTGGAAATCAATATACTATTTTGCTTTTCTTGAAACCCTATACAGATTTGCGGTAGCATTTCCAGATTATGGATTCTTAGAAGTGTGTCAACATCTTATACTATTGTCCAAGAAAAGTAGTAAATGAACAGGAACATCATGAGTTAATTACAATGAATAATTAGTCTACATATTATTCAGATTTTTCTTAGTCCACACCACCCAGGTTTAGGGGGTCTGTTCCCTTCGAGCAGAATGAAAAACGGCTCTGTTGCTTAAGATTCCTAAATCAGAATTCAGCTAGGAGTCCTTTGGTTGATCCTGCTTAAAATGTGCAGTCTGCTGTCATAGGAGGAAAGTAGTTACCCTGGGTAGAGGCTCTTTTGAAAACAATTATTGCTTAAAAGGGAAAGGGGCATGGAGGAAAGTGGTTTTTAGTAATTTATTGATTTCTTTTCTCTTCTCTTTTGATAATATAAAGGAAATTAGAAGGTACTGTATGTGCGAGGTTTTTTTGGCTTGGTACAAGTATATGTTCCCTTAATCCGCACAATATATACCTGTAGGTTGGTGACATCCTGGTTTACAGAGGAGGAAATTGGGACTTAGAGAGGTGGAGGAACTTATCAGGTCACCTGGTAACAAGTGGCAGAGCTGAGATTTAATATTAACTATATTTGCTGTTTGTGTATGTGAGAGGAGTGGAGTTTCTGGTTGTTTTTTAAAGAATATATATCAAATGAAAAAAAGTTAGATATTTACATTTAAAAGTAAACCCTATGCATTTTAAATAGGGCCAACTACTATTTTTAAGATAACTGAGATTGGAACCCAGATTAATTTGGTCCAAAGTTTATGCTGGGCCTTGGGGAATGCAGAGATGAATAAAACATTATCCACCTGGTTGACCTTTCAGACCGATGGAGATGGTTGACATGTAAGCTCACATAGAACTCTGTTAAAATTTAGATGGCGTTCCAGGTGAGAGAATGCTTTAATGCCAAGGAAGTTTTTCAGAGGTGGCCTTTGAGTGAATCAGATTGGGAAGGATACATGAGCCTGTAGGATTGTAGCTGGTAGCAAACCTTGCGCAGAGGTGTCCCCAGGGAGTGAGAGAAGGTGTGATACTTTGGAGCTAAAACCAAGCTTTCAGTTTAGGATTTTTCTCTGTAGGGAATCAGTAGCTATTTTAAAGCAAAAAAGAACGGGAAGATGTAATAATAATAACAATGACAACAGTAATAGTTTAAAGGAGCATTCTGAAGGAGATGCTAAAGGAGATTGGTGTTACTGAGAACTCTAGGTGTTTTTTTCCTTCTTAAAATCAAGTAAAGAAGGGCACTCATTGACAGGTAATTTCTTAGTCTTAGTGGCTATTGACATGTAATTTCTTAGTCTAAGTGGCATTGTTAATTAGTTAACATAATTTTCCATATGTAAGAAGAATCTTTTAGTTTAAGGATATCTCCCATTAAATGCCACCTATTCAACTTTCATATAAAACTTGTAGGTCTAAAGAAACATCTTGATAATTAGCTTGAATATTTCAGGTAATTAGATGTAGGGACAAAGTAGTATTGTTTGGATGGGCAGGAATACTATTCAAATGATCTTGAAATAAAGGGTATTTCTTTAACATTTTTAAATTACATAGCAATACATGTTTATCAAAGTTAATTTAAGAAACAAAATAACGCAAAGAAAAAAAATACCTCTAATCAATAAGCAAAGATAAACTGTTGGGGTATATATAATATTACAATCACTAAATAAAGTTTTAATATTCAGATTCCAGAGTTCTAGTCAACCAGTGGATATATTTAATACCTTAAATTAAGGAAAATGATTTTCTGCCTTCACTTATTTTATTGACTGAATTACCACGCACAATTGAGAGTTTGGTTATTATTACAGTTACATTCTGATTTTCATTTAATAACTAAGGTGGCTGCTTTAACTGATTAAAATGATAACCTATTAAGTACTAGCAAATGGCATGCTTTCAGATGCTACTACCCCTCTCTTACCACCAATTTATTCTTAGGAATTGCAAAGGAAAAGGGAACTTAAAAACTGTTTGTTTTGCCTTTTTATTTTACAAATGAGGAAACTGTTCTTCTGAAATTTTGTGTCCGGTAACATATTCCTGTGAGTTTTCTTTTGTTTCTAAGGCTTTTCTTTTGTTAAGCTTGCACTTGATTGCAGTCCTCTCTCCTTCCGGTCAGACTCTGCTTTTCCATCTCTCAGCCAGTGGTACAAAGAAAAGGGAAAGTGAAGAGAGGAGGAAGCACGTGCCAGAGAAGTAGAAGGAGCCTGCGTATGTCTGGGTGTAGTCATATAACCAGCCTGGAAGGAAGGAATGGTTTCTGTTAGCCAAGCAAACCTACCCAATAGTCATTCTTAGCCATGAACTTCTCTCGAAGAAAAGAACCCTCATGTACTTAACCAGTCTGTATTGTGACCTGTGGGAAAGTTAGCCCAGCTCCGTACCTGTCTTATTTCTAGTGATGGAGTTACTTGCATCAGTTTAACTTGATTTAGGGACTCAACCCATGGAGACAGTCACTGCGGACCCAGAACTCATCTCCGATCTTAGAAGTTGGAGATAATTAGGAACACCTACCATTTCATTGTCTGATGAATCTTTTTAGAAGGCACCATTCTTACAAAGAAAACAATTGTAAATTCCTAATGTTTTCCAAAGAAAAATATTAAGAGAACTGACCCCCCACACACACACACACAAATGTTTGAGTATTTACTGTTCCCAGCAGTGTGCTAGGGGGTGAGGATACAATAATGACCCCAAAGAGACGGGGTCCTGGCCCTTGCAGACTGTACAGTTTAGTGGGGGGTTAGGTGTTAACCACATAAATTGCAAGTGATAAGGGCTATGAAGGGAAGGTTCAGGACACCCTGAGCATATGAAAAGGAACTGACTATTTGGTCAAGTGAGTTAAATGATGGCTGAAATTCTCCCTGACAGGCTCTTTCAAAGCATGAATGGGGACGGGTCCTCGAAATCCTTAGACTAATGGCACATACTAGAACTTAAGTGAAACCCCTTTAAAAACAGAACAGTTTTGACCTCACAGACTCCCTAAAAAGGTCTCAGGACCTGTGGGGAGTCCACTGACCACACTTGACAGCCCCTTTTCTAGAGATTGTATGCATTTTATGTTTTTAAATGCACACTTACATTATGGCTTTTATATTTAAAATCCAAAAGAACTTAGAGAGTTAAAGCTGTTATTCTGATTATCTATTTAAAAAATGTTGGTGCTGTACGCTGGCACAGTTCTGGGTACTGGGGATATACCCATGAACAGAATAGATGGAAGTCTGCCCTCATGGGATGTACGTTGTGTCTTTTGATTTTTGTTTATATCTTGGAACATGATTTCTCAGTGGAAGTGTAGAGTATACCCTGTCCTCTTTGTTCTCTTATTTGGCTCTGAAACAGACTTTAAAAATGTTTTTAGTTATTTTTCATTCGCGTTATGTTTCTTGTTCGTAATGTAATGAGTGGATGGAATGTTTTATCGCCTCTTAAATTCAGCTAACTTTAAGTTGCTTTTTACCTATTGACTCCTTGTTTGATCAGTGACCACAAATGCTTTTTGGAGTTAAGCAAAAGAGTGGGTGAAACCTACTAGGACAAGTCCTTGTTGATTGTGACTGACCTTTATATACCTGAAAAATAGGTGACCAATCTCTCAACTTCTAGAAATTTCCAGGAAGGAGGGAGTGTGAAAAGCAACCACACTCCCTTTTATCCCTTGTCATTGTTGCCTTAGTCCCAACAGTACAGCAAATTTACCAATATATTTCAATTGAACAAAAACTTTGCCCGGATTCTTGAAAGAACAAAATGTAGCCTGTGAAGTATGATACAGCAGTATTAGAAATAATACTATGGGAAAGACTAGAAATTCTTGGGTATGGAGATAAACAGTGTTGCTAAAGGTCAGGAGAGCACAGCTAAAAGTAGTGAAAATGAGTTGTTTTTTAAGAAATCCCAGAGGACCTAAAACATTTTCAGAGAAAATGTTTATAAGCCTTTAATTTCACCCACAGACACACAATGAAAGTCAGAATGTTGCTTTAGAAACATTAAAGATTAATGAAATAATTTGTCTTAAATCTGTTTTTTCTCTTTATACTTGATAATTGAGATGTTAGTATATATGTTTTTTTATCTTATCTCTATGACCCAATTGCCATTCAGTAGGATTATAATGTGCAGTGAGTATTTACTTTTAGGAGTCTATTTATAATAGCAAATATGAGGTGAAATGTAGGATGCATTATTGATTAATTATCTATGAAATTAGATAATAATTAGATTAATTATCTATGAAATGTAGGGTGCATTATTGATTAATTATCTATTGATTAATTATCTATTAGTTGTCATAATCAGCTTAGTTTTAAGTGGCTGCTAGGTAAGTTAAATTCAGAACTTGGTCCCCCCCCCACTCTATTTGGTTGGAATAATTAGCCTTTCCCCACCACTGAAAAATAAAAACGCTGTATAATTGGTCAGATTTTATCAAATCTCTGTACTTTTTAAAGAATAGTATGAAAAAGCTGTATAACGGTGCACTTTTAACCCTACCACTTTAATACTTCTAAGTATATATTTTTAAAAGAAATTATTGTTGGTAGTTCAAAAGCCACTCTGTTTTAAATGGAAACACACACATAGTTGACATTCAAAAGTCTGGGTTCATTTGTGGCCGTAGCAGAGAAAGTCGTGATTGGGTACCATCCACAATTCAGGGAAGTGTGTATGTCTGTGTGTCCCCTCCGTGTGTGTAACCACCCCTGAGGCACGCCAGCAACTTCCCACGCTGCAGTCCCCTGTGAGCACATCCTGGGTGTCTCCAGATGCCTGAGACGCACGTTAGTCGCCCATTGGTTCCCCGCAAGGGTACTTCATCCTGGTTGGTGCCCAGTTGATTCTCAGGCACAAAAACTTGTTCTCCAATCACTTCATCTATAGCTCTGTAACCCATGTTTGGGGCAGGAATGTCTAATAATGTTTCTTATGATCATTTAAAGCAACTCAGAAGACAGGGCACAGCTTCCTTCATTAGCTTGTAAACCAGTTTCTTACAGTGAACACAAAGGGGATTAGAATAATATGTCAAGTTTGATTTGTAATCTAGGATTTTAAATTCATTTAATAAAATGTCAGCATTTTAAAACTATCTAACATAATGTTATGGGTTAAGCCATGCATGTTTAAAGATGAGTTCAACAACCTGTATTAAAAGTATTCAGACCTTAATATCTTAGAACTTGATTGAGCTCAGTTATGACTCTTTTATTAGGATTAGTACTATTAGGTTTACTGTTGGTCACCTTGTGAAAACTTGAAATATACCCAGAAAGTCCTTAATTCCAAAGTTCCTTGATGTTAGTTCAAATTAGTGGCTGAGAATTCTGTAAGAGACTAATGGTGGTGAACCAGAACTTGCAGCTGATGGGCTGCAGCACAGGGGCCAGCTTCCAAGGGTCCAAGACCGGGATCTCATCCCCAGGCCACCGGGAGCTGCTGGCTGGCGGTTAGCAGCCTTGTTGTTTTACTCTGGGTGTATGCCGTATTTTCTATCAGTGCCATGATGGGAAAATACATAGATATTTTCAGTAATCTTGGGAAATGTGGCTTAGCAAATTTCAACCTCAGTGTCTTTTAAGAGCAGAATTCTCCAAACGCCTTATGATGGAAACTTGCAGTAAGATTTATTGGGTGAGCTTTGGACATTGGCTCTGTGCTGTGGGTTTTACTAAAATGATTGTGGTCTGTGTTAGGATTTTGAAGCTTAAATCCTTGGCCTTGCAAAGGAATATGTTTGCAAGGGAAGGACTAACCCCCCTTCTTTTTAAACCACACTAAAGAGCTATTTGGATTTTTTTTTAATATATTTTTGTAGGGAGTCATCAATCCTGGAAATACTGAATCAAAATAAAATTGCATGGGCATTGTTGTGGGGGAATCACTGGATAAAGAGATAATTTACATGGTTTTTCTTTGCCTCTTGAGGTTATAATACATCCCTCAGGGTTTAGAGGACAGAGAACCTTGCTCTGCTCTCTCACTTGCCCCCACTTCCTCTCATTCTCCAGGGACTTAGAGCAGACCAAAAGGTTGAGTTGTTTTGTTTGTTTGTTTTTCAAATACAGTTTCAGGCCATGGAGAAATTCCCAACCGATAGGCCAAGATGACTGATGTGTGTGGAGCATGTGGTTGGTAACAGGTGGAGTGAGGACTGGGCGTAATATTTGTTTAATATTGTATCCGAAGTGAGGAAGGAAGAGACATAATTAGAACATGACCTATTATTTCATGAGGAGGTGAACTTATCTGTGTTAGTGGGACAGAGGCAAACTTGGATGAATTTTCATCTAGCCACTGTCTTTTCTTATAAAACACAGATGAAGAGTTAGTGCAATTTCACTCCATGGTATTTTTGATGAGCTGTGAAGTAAGCAAATAATAGTACAAGAGAGGGGTATTTCTTTTTTCTTTCTCTTTTCCCCCCCACTTTTAATTTCTTTATTGATTAAAGTATTACATATGTGTCCTTATCTCCCCATTACCCCCACCCACCCACACACACACACACACACACACACACTCATGCCCTCACCCCCCTGTTATCTGTGTCCATTGGTTTAGGTTTATATGCGGAGAGATGTATTTCTCCTTTAGGAACTTGTTAACTTGAACTTGTGCTGGCGTACAATCGACTTATAATTATTTGGTCTTAGAAATAGCTTTCCTCGAGTTTGTTGATAAAAACAACAAACACTTTTGTGAAGTACCCTCTGGGTTGAGTGAAGCTCTAGTGTAATTTACAGCCATTCTTTTTATACCACAGCTTAGAAAGTCTTCATTTAAAGGTAAGAAAGTGGAGACATACATGGCTTACCTAAATTTTCTGTTAATGAAGTGGAAGAAGAATGCACATTCTATTCTCAGTGTTCGAGGTTCCAGGTTGCTGGTTTTAGTATTGAGTCCTGTCCGTGTATGTGCCATTACTCAGTGAGCGATGGGGGAGCATTAAGAAAAGATTGTCTTCTCTGTATCCCACGGAACAACTAGCAGAGAGCTGTGCTAATAAGGGGCTTAGTAATTATTGAATGAATACTGAGCTATCAAATAATTGTTTCTGGTATTTTAAAGGAGTTTTCAGAAGATAATTGGGATTGATATAAATATATATTAGCATAGTATGTACACTCATCAGTTGGGAATGGGGGGGTATATGGAAGAGAGGGAAACTATATTCAGTTCTGTTTTATAGTAAGCCGGTATGGGCCCTTGGTTTTATTTTTATGTGAAACTGAGCCTTTAACATTTTGAGCTCACACATCAAATGCCTTTGGATAGAAGATTAGGAATTTCACATAAGCAGCTTACATTTGACTTGTATGTTGGAGAATATGATTATATACTTGCTTTTTTTTGCCCAAGGCACTATTTTTGTATTTATATTGCTGTCTGAAGATCTACTTTTGTTAACAGGGTCTACTAGAAATATAATGTTTCAAAATAGCAGTGCTTTTCATTTCC